TGACTCCTGTGTACGAAGCACAAAAAGGGAGTCTTTGCAGTTAGTGTGGCTGTGTGTGTGTGTGTGTGTGTCTGTTCCACTGATATCTCAAGAACCATACATCGGTTTTTGGATGAAACTTGGTGCATAAATGCTCTGGGCCAATGCGCAGATTTGATTAGGTTTTGGTAGAAATCCCTGCGTATTAATTACCTAATTTGCATGATAATTAGCCAATTTTTAGCTGTTCCAGGACTGTTCCACTGAAACTAGGTTCATAGATGATCTGAACTAATGCCAGGTTTTGATTAGTTTAGGGTGAAAATCTGTGCATATTAATTACCTAATTTGCATAATGATTAGTAAATTTTTGGCTTTGCCACAGATACTCAACTACTAATCATCACATTTCAATGAAACTTGGTACATAGATGTCATAGGACATTGCACAGACCTGATAGTTTTTAGGGTAATATTAGTACATATTAATCACCTAATTTGCATTATTAGTTAATTTTCACGTATATCTCAAGTACTAATCATCACATTTCAATGAAACTTTGTACATAGGTCCTCTAGAACTATGCAGAGCCAATTAGTTGTTGGTATATATTTATGCATATTAATCACCTGATTTGCATAATTAATCAATTTTCAACTTTGACACTGATATCTCAAGTACTAATCATCACATTTCATTGAAACTTTGTACATAGATGCTCTAGGACAATGTACAAATATGATAAGTTTTAGATTGAATTCATAATTTTTTGGTTCTGATCACATTTCAATGAAATTTGGTACATAGGTGTTACATTGCGCAGACCTTATTAGTTTTACACTCAAATCTGTTCATTTTAATTTTCGGATTTGCATAATTAGTTTTCAGCTTTTCCATCAATATCTCAAGTACAAGTAATTTTGAATTAATTTTTGCTGTATCCAGTCCATAACGATTATAAAATTCTAATTTTAACATGATCTAACCTCAAACACACAACGTAATTTAGAATGACGTGTTTTGTTTTGTATGATGCAAGCCGGGCAAGCTGGGCCAGACGTAATACAGAAAATTATTGACCTGATGTGAGGGTGCACTTCCCATAGCGTTACGAAGCCGGGCAATACAAGGTACATACCGGATTCTGTCGTATATTCGCTGTGGGCCGTTTCTTACAGATACTTGCATCATACTAACATATCATGTTATGCGAGCAGCCTCATCATTGATAATTACAAAATCTGTGGTATTTCTGCTCTATATCAAATTCGTTACTGTGAATATACTGACCAATAGTTCATCTCTAACATCAGACATGTTAAAGTAACAAGGTAATGCCAATGTGAGTCTATTCTTGAGTTACATCAGACTGTGTCAATGTATGCTGGAAATTCATTTTCATCTTAGACTTGTATATATTAGTTGCCGATGGCATTTTTTTATATAATTTATGACTAAACTGTAGTTAAAACATAATAGATTGGAGGTTGGGTTGACAATAGTTATTGCGACCTCATTAGTGGATTCGCTGAAATGGAAACTTATTTTGAGTCCTGAAAATGAATTATTGTTTTAATTAGCTTTCAATTATCTGTACATTACAGTGCATCATGTCTTTTGCTTAACATCATTTCACTACTATAAACAAATTCTACACTTGTCTTGTAATATTTTAATATTTAGAACACAATATGTCACTTTATGTTTAAAAAAATGAATTTCAAAGGGCCCCCTAGGAAATGGTTAGAAATTAAAATTAAGTTTTTTAAATTTAAGCTTATTTATATTGTTTAACAGCTGAACAGACCGAAGCGACTACCGGGTACTCTGCGTAGTCACCAATGACGGTTACAGAGAGTAAACCAATAATGTGATTATGGTTTCTCTGATGAGTATAATGATATGATTACAATAATACAACAATGTTTGCATTTTTATTTTAAAAACTGTCACCATTCATCAGCCAGGCACAGGGCTGGGCATGTTTGATAAGAGGTTTGATGTGAGGTTACAGCTTTTGTTTTGAAAAAAAAGACAGTACGCTCTACAGCTAGTTAAAACACGGCCAAAATACATTTATGTTGAAGGTGTATTTCGACTCAAAAATTGTCATTTTTTGCAAAGTTTTTCTCTAAAATTTGCAAAAATTGGCCAAAAATCTTAAAATTTAGGGTAAAAAAACTGATGCACCATGATTGGTTTTTGATGTATGAAGCAATGTGGACGTCAATAACCATTTTTTTTGTACACTAGTTTGTCAGATAAACAGAAACATTGTTGTACTTTGCACGTATCGTCAAGTTCTTATCGATGAAAAAATCATCTTGTTATTACACTGAGTGGTCGTTTTGCTCTACTCGGGTCTTGTCGGTAGTAGTGTCTGTAAACATGTTTTAATGAAATAAAAACTATTTGTAAATGTATAACACAACTAAAATAATCACCTTATTAGATGATATCACACATATAATAATAATATGTACTGTATGATTGTAATAATTATAATAATAATAACTTTTTAGAAATACAATTTTCCTATGAATGCACATCAATTGTGATGACTGATGTTTAAAACAGACGATGACACGACTGTCAATTTAAAAGTGAATGTAAATTTGGGCAACAACATAAAAAGCATGTAAGTTAATAAATTACCAGTAATTTGAGCGTTTTCAATAATAAACAATTATGTTTCTTTAGTAGCCTCATATGGTCTTGTAAATTGTCTTGCATTTGAATCTCCAGCATTGGGGTTGATTTCATAAAATTGTTGGACACTCAAACAAACCTCATTTGAATTCAGAATAGATGTCAGAAAAACTAACTCAGACGTTTTGTTATGAGTCATTAGACAACTGACCTGCTCCGACCAAAAACACTGTTCAGGGTTCAGTTTAAACTGGTTTAAACCAGTTTCACTACCGGTATCTACACTCATAGTAGAGTTGCTATATACAGTTGTATAATTTGCAACCTAATTTTGTGGTGGGGCTTATTATCAATGCTATTTCTGTCATTCCCTTGGTCAATGTAGGATTTCAATTCATAAGAGGCTTCAAGATAATGATGTATTTTGACAATCCTCCATGATTGATTCCATATGCTACAGATATTTGTTCATTAGCCATGTATAGCAAATAGATTTCCCTCCGGGTGCTGATTATTTCTTTTGAATACTGACTGAGAAGCCAAAATATTTTTCTAAGTAATAATAAGTATAACAATAAGAATGTAATACCTTGTTACCATGGTAATGGAAGTCCATATTTGCTGTGGCTTAAGATGGTCTCAGATTAACAGATACTTTTTTTATATTGTTTGATTCTGTTTCCTAAGTTTGATGATATTTTTATTTCCATGGTAATAAGTTAAAAAAACACACATTCAATTCAACCTTTCTCCAGGGCAATTTAAGTTCATTTTAATTCAATTTAAATTGTGTTTCAAGTGATTAATTTTCACTAAATCATGGTGAAAAAATATAGCACAGCATGAATACTAAAATATGAAATAACTAGAACATCTCAGAATTTACTATGAGGTTATTACGAAGATTCCTCAAAGTATGCACGAAGACAGTACAGCGACAGTATCGACCGACGCATAGCGGAGGGCGATGCGACAGTGTACTGTCTTTTCCTTCCAAGGATACATCATGGGAATGCCGAAATCCAAAAAGTTTAGAACAGAATCAGCCATGTTTGTTTTTATTATTAGAGGATGCCTATGCGCGTAATGATTCCATATTTAGAATTCGCATTTCCTAATATGGTATGATGAAAATACCCTGTAAAATACCACAAAATTACGGCACGCTGTAACTTACGGCATTACAGTGACAGATATATAATAATATATAATATTTATAGAAGATAATTTAACTAAATCAAGATGTTGCTAATTTAAAAGTAAATGTATTCTCACATTGAGTTTGTTGGTACTTCAGCTAAC